TGGCAACGGTTTCGCAAATCGCAGCCCCCCAGGGGTGACGAGGTCTAATTTAGATCTGCGGCGGCTACCCAGTATAGCTGGCCCCCCAATCAGCCCTCGAAAGTGGCGACGGTTTCGCAGATCGCAGCCCCTCCCAGGGATGGCGAGGTCTCCTTTGGATCTGCGGCGGCTACCCACTATGCTGGCCCCCCAAGCAGCCCTCGAAAGTTGCGACGGTTTCACAAATCGCCGCCCCCCCTCCCCCAGGGATGGCAAGTCTAATTTAGATCTGCGGCGGCTACCACCCACTATGCTGCCCCCCCAGGCAGCTCTCGAACGTGGCGACGATTTCGCAAATCACAGCGCCCCAAGGACGGCGAGGTCTCGCTCAGACTGCGCGGTGCCTCCCTCACCCCGCTGGACCCACGAGCAGCCCTCGAAAGTGGTGACAGTTTCGCAGGTCGCTATGCTGGCCCCCCAAGCAGCCCTCGAAAGTGGCGACGGTTTCGCAAATCGAAGCCCCCCCCAGGGATGGCGAGGTCTAATTTGGATCTGCGGCGGCTACCCACCATGCTGTCCACCCCAGCAGCCCTCGAACGTGGCGACAGTTTCGCAGATCGCAGCCCCCCAGGCAAGATGCACACACAAGAGGTACCGCAGGCAAGATGCACACACAAGAGGAGACAAGAGGGAGGCAGGAGGAAGGAAGGAAGGACGCGCGAGCAGTTTTTTCTGTTCAAAACGAATACCCAACCAAGGTTCACGGAGGGTTGGGACAAAACACGGATCCGGGGCGAGCAGCTGGCCCTGGGGGAAAGGTGTCGGGACCTCTGGGACCACGCATGGACAAACAACAACAACAACAACAACAACAACAACAACAACAACAACAACAACAACGCCAACAACAACGCCAACAACAACAACAACACTTACAACAACAACAACACCAACAACAACAATACTTACACCAACAACAACAACAACAACAACAACAACAACAACAACAACAACAACAACAACAACAGCTCGTCGGATATCTCTGAGGAGGCCCAAGGACACACGCGTACACACAAATCCCAGGATTCCCTATATTGTTTCACAGTTTCTGGGTTTTCGCTTTCCCCCCCCCCCCCAATTTCCATATTTTCCCACATTTTCCATATTTTCCCATATTTTCCTATATTTCCCCCCCAATTTCCAAATTTCCCCCCCCAATTTCCATATTTTCCAATCTTTTCCTGGGATCGACGTTGAATTTTGTCTCTGTGTGTTTCTTCCCCTTCCTGAACCTCGGGCGGGCGCTGCTGGTGGCCGCTGGCCCATCGCCGAGCGCCGTCGTCGCCGTGGCGGTGGCGGCGGTCGTGGCCGTGGCCGCGGTCGTGGTCGCAGTCGGCGTGGTCCACGTCGCGGTTGGCGCTGCCAGTGGCCAATCGCAGTCGGTTCTTGGACGCCCGAGTTATCCGGGGTAACTCGGGTCCGGGGTAACTCGGGTTTGGGTTCCCGACAAAACCAACCCGAGTTAGCCCTGACCCGAGTTACCCCTGATGATTCGGGGCTCTGGACGCCCGAATTATCCGGGGTAACTCGGGTCTGGGGTAACTCGGGTTCGGAATCCCGAAAAACGAACCCGAGCTAGCCCTGACCCGAGTTACCCCTGATGATTCGGGGCTCTGAGTGGTTGGCGCTGCCAGTGGCCAATCGCAGTCGGTTCGTCGTCGACACGCTCGCCGCCGTGGCGATCGCGGTGGTGCAGAGGGGCACACGACGGCAGAGCTGAGGAGAGGGCATACAGGGCTTCTCAGAAGGCGCGAGGGCTTCCGAGGAGCCCCGCCGCCTTCTGACAAGGCCTGCCCCCTCGCACTCCCACCCCGGGCTCGCCGCCGACCCTGGCCAAGCCAGGGGGGCTTACGCACACACTGACCCTAGGATCCGAAACAAGCTCGGCCAGGCGCGCGCAAAAGTTTGTGACGCCGCGTCGATCGTTCGACCCTGAATCGACTGCGGCCCCGATCGCTCGAGGCTGCCTTCTGTCCGGGCCAGTGGCGCCACCGTGCTCGGTGCTTCCGCGTCACAGAATGCAACCCTGAACGCATTCGCCGGCGTCGCCAGCGCGCCATCGCAGCAGGAATCCGTCGTGCACCGACCGATCCTGGGCCCAAGATGAGCCTGGCCAGGGGCGGTGAAGTGGTCTGTTCACGAGGACTCCTGAGCTCGGGCCCCTGGCGCTCTCCCGCGCCCCGCGGGTCCCAGCTAGCAGGCTCTGCCCGCGCGCCTGACCAGCCCACCCCTGGGTTGCAGTGGCCGTTCGTCCTCCTCACTCGCAGCCCGCAATGATGCCATTGAGGGCGGTACGCGGCCGCCGAAGTTCGAATCCAAAGGTCTGTCGGCACGTCTCGAATCCAGGCAGGAGCAACAACTGCACGATCAACATTTACGACCCCTTTGGCCTTATCGTGCTCTTCGTCCACGTCCACGTCCACGTCCTCTTGATACTTTCCTCCTCCTCGTCCTGTTCACG